TTTTTTGCCTATTATTTAATTCAGGAAAAATCTGGTAAAATCGGGTCCGCGGCGGCGGCGGCGCGGACCCGGTAGGCCGCGGAGGCGGCCGTGAATACGTCCGCCCTCCGAGCTCGGCCTCACGGACGCGTCCGCGGGTGTTACATAGTTGGAAATCCCTTTTGGTTCGCCGCTTGCGTGTTGTGTGGAGTAAGAATCGTTCGATCGGCGACTGCATTCACAATTTTCGAAAATTTTCGAGATTATCTTCCTATGATTGTGTCTGTTCTTCCCTTGATGCTTCTCTGAGTGGTATTGATGGCCACGTTTCCTTTGGCTGAGTACATATGATTCCTTTCCCTCCTGGATGAACAACTCTAAGAATGTGTTGAAGCCCTCTGGTGTTAATCCGATTGTGGATTTGAGGAGGCAAATTCGGTCCTCTTTCTTATCATTCCCAGAACTCAACTCCGAATCTGCGCTTTCTGTTTTGTCTTCCTCTCTACTCTGTCGTTGCTTGGATGCTCCCAACTCTAGTGGTGAGGATTTTTGTTCGGAATCTGCCTTGCTAGAGCAGCGTAGGAGGATTGAGGGTCTAGTTTGCTGTCCCATTGACCACAATCCCGGGGATTCATATGTTTGCTGCCTTGTTGTTTATGGGCAAGGTATGTCTAAGTTGTTTACCGATAATCCTGCTGTCCTTCATGAGTTAAGAAAAGAGGCGAGTGTTTTAAAGGACTGTAAGGAAGTTTTTACTAATGAAGGTTTTGACAAGTTGGGTAGGTGGAATGCTAAAGGTGAGTTTGGAAATGCTTTTTGTCTGCCTAAATACAAGGACGTAGGTCGTTGGCGTCCTATCTGTCCGTCTTTTCCTGAAGGGTCTGCGCTGTGTGGTAAGAGGATTGCCTATGCCGTTAATGAGCTTCTGTGGACTCTACCTAAGTCTTTTCATTTCAATCTCCGCCGTACCTCCGATTTCGTCCTGGGTATCAGCGCAATCAATAACAAGATCAAAGGTAAGGATCACATGTTGGGGGCCTCCTTTGATGTGAAGGAAATGTTTTCCAATTTGCCTCATCACTCTATCCTTAAGGCGCTGCGGTGGGCTTCTGATTACCGGTGCTCCGAAGGCTACAAGGGTGTTCTCGTAAGAAAGCATGGCAAGGTTGCCCGCATCACTCGCGGTCGAGCAGAAGATGGTTGGTTTCTTATCAAGTTTTTTGTTATTCTTTGCTTTGTTGCTTATGATCTTAACAATACCTTCGTCCGTGCCTCTGGCGTCCTGCTGAAGCAAACCTCGGGCATTCCCATAGGCAAGTCTACGAGCCCTGCCCTAGCGTGTTGGCTTTTCGCATACAAGGAGTATTCCTTTCTGTCTTCTCTTGGGGCTGATTGTAAAATGGTTTCCAGCTTCCGGGTTGTAGATGACGTCTCCATCTTCGTTCGCTTTGCTTTGTCTTTCGCGACCTCTTTGACTAAGGCTCGGGCGATTGTTGAACGTTTTCGTAATTGCTATGACTCAAATTTGACTCTTCAGCAGACAAATGAGGGCAGCGATTGGGACTTCATCGGTTGTGTTGTGAAGGTTTTCAATAACCCATGCAGAATCTGTTGTACGGCTACCCATAAGAACCAGCGGCTTATTTCTGACCAAGGTCTTGTCTTTCACGGTTTGCAGGACTTCTCGTCTTTTTCCAGCCGGCAGCAGAAGCTGGTTGTCATTACCTCCTTTCTTCATCGAGCCCGTGTTTTCACCAATGTTCCCGGTTTGGAGGTTGCTTTCCTTCTTACTTTGAAGTATGAACAGTGGTTGAGAGGGTATCCCGATTGCTATTTCGATTGTGCTCTTGAGAATTTTTCCCGCAAATTTTCCGGTTGCTGGGATCATTGGCTAGGTGTTTTGAATAAGTGGAATCGGTTGTTTCCTTAGGTTAGGGTCAGAGCAGGTGCTTGGCTCGTTTTAGGGCCGGTTGCTGAAGAATTTCGGTTTCTCCTTTTGGATACTAGAGGGTGTCGTCGTGGTTGGGTACACCGTCTTAGGGCCGGTTGGGTACACGGCGCTTTGTTCTATTGATCTTGGGTTGTCGGCGTGCGCTGGTCAGATTCTGCTTTTTTACAGGTTACCCTTTCTGTATGTAGGGGGACCTTCCTTTTGTTTGCTCCCATCCCTTTGGCTCCCCTGGTTTTTATTTTGTTCCTTTGGTACTTCAGTCTTTTTAGGGGGTCTCACCCGCGGTCCCATTTGGGGTTTCTTTACGAGGTGTTGAGGTTGATCTCGAACCGTCGTCATTTTTTCTTTCATTTCCCTGGCCTGTGTTGTCGTAGGTTTATAACCATGTATTTGGTCTGGTTTGTAGGTTTTATTCTTTAGTACCTTTTGGCGTACGCTTTTGGACGAGTTTTGGTACCAGGATGGACGTGATGTTTGGTTCGGTTCCCCAGGTGTTTCTCTTTCACCTGACTCTTACGAGCTATTAATACGCGTGATATGCTGTTCTTGTTGCACTTGCGACAATGACTCAAGACCCCTTAGGAAGGCTGGTTGGCGGGCCAGACGAAACTAGTCGGGTCCACGCCGCCGTTTTTATTGTAATATTTTACAAAACGTCACGTCCGGGTTTTTTTGTATCAGCGTCTCTCTCTCTTTCTTTTTTTTCTTCTTCTTCTCTTCTGCTTCTTCCTCTTCTTCTTTTCTTCTCTCTCTTCTCTCTCCCTCTTTTTGTTTTTTGCGTGTCGGTCCTTGGATTTCGATTGATGATTTATTTCCTTTTGAAGCTAGTTTGTTGACTTTCAACTCCTGTTTCAACTGCTGCGCAGTATGATCAAGGCACAATTATTGCGTAGTGGAATCAATATTGACTTAAAAAAGCGGAATAATATTACGTCAAAATTATTTAAGTTCTCTCTCTCTC